CTGCTCCAAAGCTTCTTCCACTCTGAACCGGCTGCTGGAACAGAGGTATGCTAGCTGAACAGGGTGCGGGGTTGGGCACCCTCACAGCAGAGAAGTGAAAGATCAAGAAAAAAGCTGTTTGCTAATGTAGCCAAGGCTACCACTAGAGTTTTGTGTGTTTAAGAAGTACTTACCATTTATTTAAGATTTATGAAGATGATTTTCTACTTCAGCTTGTCATAACGCTTGTCTTTCTCTAACTTTTCTGTAATCAGAAATGAGTTGCCAGCTGCAGCTCTTATGTGTATGGTTAGTGGCAAAATACGGTTCTCTTTTTAAGGACAAGGAGAAAACAGAACATGTGCTGTGCACAAATCAGCTTCTCCTTAGCTGCTTACCTGGAAGCACATCTCACTGCTGATTTGCAGACAGCATCCTTAGAATAGGAGCGAAGATCTTCAGAGATAACACACTCACCCCAAGGAGGTGTCAGCTATAATATTGCAGCACATGGGGATCGGGATTGAGCAGTACACAAAAGCATGGAAACCCAATGATTTTGACTGAAGTTCCACAGCAGACATCTCACATCTATTGAAGTTACGAATACACTGAAATGATATCATTAAATCATACCACTGAGAGGAGTTAAGGCATCTGAGGACCTGAGTAACATGAAGAAGGTTCACGTCACTGCTGTTTATAAGAAGGGGAGCAAGGAGGATCCGGGGATCTACAAGTTGGTGAGTCTCACCTCTGTGTCTGGGAAGATCATGGAACAGATCCTCCTGGACATGCTTGATCACATGAGGTGTGAGAGTGTGTGCTTGATCACATGAGTGTGTGATCTAAGACAGCCAGCACGGCTTCACTAGGGGAAGGTCATGCTTAACCAATCTGGTGGCCTTCTATGATGTGGTGATGGCATTGGTAGACAAAGGGAAGGCAACTGATGTAATTTACCTGGACTTGAGCAAGGCCTTTGACATGGTCCCCCACCACATCCTTATTGGACGGATGTGGATTTGATTTGTGGACCACCCAATGGATAAGGAATTGGTTGAAAGGCTGCAGACAGAGGGTGATCGTCAATGGCTCTATGTCCAGGTGGAGGCCAAAAATGAGCTGCATCCTCCAGGGGTCTGTCTTGGGATCGGTGCTCATTAACATCTTTATCGATGACATTGATGACAGAATCGAGTGCACCCTCAGCAAGTTTGCTGATGACACCAAGCTGAGTGGTGCGGTTGACATGGTGGAAGGAAGGGATGCCATTCAGAGGGACCTCAAGAGGCTAGAAAGATGGGCCTGGGTGAACCTGATGAGGTTCAACACAGCAAAGTACAAGGTTTTGCATTTGAGCTGGTGGAATCCCAGGCATCCATACAGACTGGAAGGAGCAGTCCTTGAGAGCAGCCCTGCAGAGAAGGACCTGGGGGTCCTGATGGATGAAAAGCTGAATATGAACCAGCAGGGTGCCCTTGCAGCTCAGAAAGCAAATGGTATCTTGGGCTCCATCAGAAGAGGGGTGGCCATCAGGGACAGGGAGGTGATTGTCCCCCTCTACTCTGCTCTTGTGAGGCCTCATCTGGAGTACTGTGTCCAAGTGTGGAGCCCCCAGTACAAGAAAGACAGGGAGCTGTTGGAGAGGGTCCAGAGGAGTGCCACAAAGATGATCAGAGGGCTGGAGCACCTTCCCTTTGAAGATAGGCTGAGGAAGCTGGGCTTGTTCAGCCTGGAGAAAAGAAGGCTGCAAGGTGACCTAATTGCAGCCTTTCAGTACCTAAAGGGAGCCTACAAACTGGAGGGGAGTCAACTCTTTGAAAGGGCGGCTAACAGCAGGACAAAGGAAAATGGTTTTAAATTTAGGGAGGGAGGGGAGATTTAAGTTGGACGTCAGGGGGAAATTCTTTATAGAGAGAGTGGTGAAGTACTGGAACAGGCTGCCCAGAGAGGTTGTGGATCCCCCATCCCTGGAGCTGTTTAAGACCAGATTGCATGGGGCCCTGGGCAGCCTGGTCAGTATTAAATGAGGAGGTTGGCAGCCCTGCCTGCAGCAGAGGGGTTGAAGGTTGGTGATCCTTGAGGTCCTTTCCAACTCAAGCTATTGTATGATTCTATGATTCTATGATATGGAGGCAGAGATGAATGAAATAATGACAAAAGTTGTAATTTTGAAGATTTCTTCTGCTCCTCTTTCCTACCCCAAGTCACATCAGCCACAATAAAAAAAATGTAAAGAATCTGCATTTCTGCTTTCTGGTTGTTTTATGCACTTAATAGCTTATCAAATCACTTAAACATGATTAATGTTTGAAATCCTCAAGCAGAAGGATTCTCAGTTACACACTGAGAAACAGAAGTTCCAATACGAGCCATTTCCTTTTCAAAACAAACTTTAAATTGTCACAGTTTTTCTGTGTGAGCACAAACAAGTAAAGCAGCTTAATGCTCTCACTAACAAGTCACCGGAGGCCTAGGTCAGAAAAAGCTTACAGGCACCGGGCACCACTGCTAATTATTAGCGTCAAGTGCAGCAAACATAGCATCAGTCTGAGCTGCTAAACAAAGCCTTTCCCTGTGTGTGCTCCTGTGGATAACCCAAGCTAGACTCTGCCACGTTCTTTTCGTAGGGCATTCTACAAATATTTGATATAATAATATTTTCCATCAAGGCGGATTTCTTCCCCTCTTAAGGGAAGTCCGTATTTGTTCTCTAAATGTGAGCTGTACATTCCCTTTTTACTATGTCTTAGCATTTTGGTTACTAGGAACACCTTCTCTTTGCCCAGTTTAAAATCTTAATGATGCAGCCATGGCTGAAGGGAAAAAGCACATTACTCCGGTTCTTACCTTCTCAGTTTCTCAACAAAGCACTTGTGGTATCATGGGAAAATTTATGCCAATATACTTAAAAGAGTCTGAGCAATTCGGAGTGCTTAATAGCAGCACAGCTTCACCCAGCCAGAATTACAGAAGCGCTGAGCATGCCTCACCTCCTGGCTCCTACATGCACCATTTCCATATGAAGTTCCATACAGACAGCCCCAGCTGCAGGAGCTGAGGAGGCATTTTCTGGCAGTCGCCAGCGCTGAATGCCTGCAGCCAAACAATGCTACACACAAAGCTGGCGAGGCCTGGCAGAGCTGCACAACTTTGGACATAACAGCAGAATTTTCCCAGAGAGCCTGAGCTAATGGATGGTAGAAGTATAGCAATTGTAAGCCTTTAGAGCTCGTGGCCAGGACCTGGCAGGAGGATACATGGCAGCTACATGTTCCTGACACCTAGCTCAGTCACGTCCTTTCAGTTCCATGGGTATTCCAGCATTTTGCAGATCCACTTCCTGCCTGCATTTCTCTAGGTAGACGCCAACACCTAGAATCACTGAGATTAGAAAAGACCACTAAGACCATCTAGTCCAACTGTCAGCCCGTCATCACCATGCCTCTAACCCCTGTCCCTCAGTGCCACATCTACACATTTCTTGAACACCTCCAGAGATGGTGACCACCACTCTGTGGGCAGCGCGTGTGTCAAAACACAGCCCTGTCAGCACAGGAAGGCCACTATGCTGTCCACACAAGGTAGGACACTGCAGTGTGGTCTAGCAACACTTCAACCTAACTGTGCAAGGAATGTGCACGTGAAGTGCACTGAAAAAAAAAAAGAAAAAAAAAAAAAGCAAGACAGAAGGGAAACTTATGCAGGAGAACTGATCTGAAGTTTGCAAACCTTATAGCCAATACACCAAGAATTCTTACAAATAAACTTCTCCTTAATATCCAAGATGTATTTTTCCAGTGTGATCATGAAAAATCCCACCCCAACTTTAGTTTTCTAACCCCAATTTTCCTTTATCATAACTTCACTTAATCAGTCCTCATACTCAATTAAAACCCGTTTTGAAGCGATTTTACAATAAGCAATTGCACAAAAATGTACTCTCCACATTACCTAAGAATACCAACAGTGGAGCACTGAAAAACATGTGTGAATACTTCCCTGAAGTAGATAACTAAAGTAGCTTTGAACTGTAATTCTTCTCCTTCTTTCCTCTTCACCCCCTCCCTGCAGTAAAAATACCTTATCTATACCTCTAGTTTCTTAACTGTGATCCTCTGAGTCACATTTATAACATAAAATGTGCTTTACCCTAATTATACTGTGACCACTGTTTAGTGGATTTTGCTATTATGAGCAGGAAGGCAACACAGTTGTTCTGTTTATTTAATAAAGCCTTTGATTTTTATTTAAAAGCATGTTTCAGGGCTTTACTAATGACCACAACAAGAGAAATGCACATATTAATGATAGTATGTTTTATTGGGCTGAAGAAAATGCTCCACGTGGAAGCTCATTAGTATTGTTCTTCCCTCTCACTTTTCCAGCCAGCTCACTCATAGGAAACAGACTCCTGTTGTTAGTGGACTCTCCAGGTGAGATTTTTAGACAGACACTCTGACTTCTTTAGAAGAGCCAGAGATGCTCTTAAGTGATAATACAGACTCCCAGGCCTCTTTTTCTGTAGAGAAAGAAAATTCTGCCAAGCTGCTTCTGGCATAATTCCATTTGTTTTTCTTGCAATGACAGTTAAAAGAGAATGAAAGCACCTATGGGACACTAAGAGTTCAGTTTCCTTTGGCAGTGGTCTTGACTGGAAGCAAACCTCAATAATTTCACTGCAAAGCAGCAAGTAAATACTTATCTGAAATACGCACAATAAACAAAACTTACTTGCACAACAATCCTAAACCACAAGATTGCTTAGAAAAAAAAAAAAAAAAAAGAAGAAAAGCAAACAAAAAAGTTTTATCATTACTGCTTCAAGTGTAGAAATTGGTCAACAGTACTTTGAGATCCAGGGGATAGGTAAAGGGAAGGGTATCACACAGCAGTCAGTAGTGCCACCTGACACATTTACAATAGAAATTCCTACATGGAATAAAAGTATACAGCCATCACGTCCATCTGAAGATCTACGGAATGTGGCTTTGTTCTAAAAAACTTCACTGAAACAGTTATGACTTTTTCTAGCATTTATTTCAGTTAGGTGAGATGCTTCGTTTTGTTTATTCACTCGTGTGTTCCCTGTGCAGTCCTACCATTAGTGACCACATTAATCACTACTTGGTTTTTCTGAGGTAAAAATTCATGTTGTTTTTCCACAAATACAAATCGCATACACTGGTTTAACTAATAAATTATTAAAAAGCTTTAACATCATTAGGCTTGAAAAACAAAATTAATGTTCTTCAAAATGTAAGTATAAGAATTTTAAAAATATTATTCCTGAGCACCAGTAAGAAGAAACAGTTCTGGCTTTCTTTTTCTTCCATGTATTTATAAATAATTCAATGAAAAAAAAAGTGGCTTTATCTTCTAAGCTACCTGCAAAAGTTCTTATAGTATGATTGTATTATTTTAATTAAAAGATGCAAGTAACCTCATATTTCAAGTTTTTGCCCAGTATCCCATATTCCACTCAAAATATTATATGCAAAATGGTATGAGCAAGAGTCCCACTCTGAACTAGCTCATCATTATGATGATGAAATATCACAGGCACTGATTTCCAAAACTATTAAGGGGGTAGAAGGAGAAAACCCCGCCACACAGAAGTCTTGCACAGAATGCATGCGTGTACATAAATACATGAATTTGCTTCAGGAACAAGCAGCAAGTTGTATCAAGGACAAATGCAAAGTTTATTCCACATGTGCTACAATTAATGGACATGTTAGGGAAGTATCAAAACTTGTACTATTAACGTACGGCAACAGTTATCTTGTTACAACACATTGCAATAGGTCAGCCCAAGTGGAAAAGTTTTTAAGCTGCAGACAGTGCAATTGCATTAAATCTTAATTCTTCTGGGTCACGTTCCATGAATTTCTTGCAAACTTCTATTGCATCCTATGGGGAAAATAAATAAATAAATAAACAACAACAGAACAGCCACAACTATAAAATCACACTTACTCAAAAAAAGCAAATGAAACGTGAAGATACACTTCACACAAATTATGGTCAATGTGTAGTTTTCCATAAAGTATTACTAAAGAGTATCACAAACTTACATATACTGCATTTCTGATCCGAGTCACTGCTATTCAGGATTATTTCTAGCACAAGAGAACAAATGTTGTGTGCAAAACCAGAACAGTGAGTTTTGTGACTGAGTATTACTTCATGCAACAGATGTTGCCTGACTTTCCAAATGCATCTCTGAAGTTTGCCTTTATTCTGAAGAGTACTGCTTTATTCTGTGTTTTTTCCTTTGTCTCGAGATGAACAAAAGATGTGTGGGGTAAGTGATTGATTATAAATAATTCTTTTATCTAGCTTTAGGGTGCAATATGGAGAACACATGTTATCAGTGTAACAGGAAAAAAAAGAAAGAACTCTACCGAGCTTCTTCCCTTGCCCAAACAAACACAAACTGTATACATACTTTACAGATATTAGTAAATATTATTAAACTATATTTTGGGTTGTTTTTTTTGTTTGTTTGTTTGTTTTTAGTTTTTCTGGTGTCTTCCTTCTGTAAAGCTAACTCAGTGTCTGGTTACTACAGAAGTCAGATGCACAGACTTCTCTTAGCTTCAACTTCTGATCGTTTTGTCAGGATAGCAGTTTACCTCCTCAATTAAATGTAAATTCCTTTGAGATCAATTTCTCAGTGAAATAGCTCCTGACACACAAGCACACAAAATTAACTACAGAAGGAGACTAGACAATTTTCACACGGTCTGACAGTGATAAGACAAGGGGTAATGGATTTAAACTAAAAGAAGGGAGATTCAGGTTAGATGTTCGGAGGTGATTCATTACTCAGAGGGCGGTGAGGCAGTGGCACAGCTGCCCAGAGAAGCTATGGATGCCCCATCCCTGTAGATGCTCAAGGCCAGGTTGGATGTTGCCCTGGGCAGCCTGAGCTGGTGGGGGGCAGCCCTGCCCCCGTGCTAGGGGAGTTGGAACTAGGTGATCCTTAAGGTCCCTTCCAATCAAGACGTTCTGTGATTCTATAACAACAATTGTTAGAAAGGAAGAAGGGGCAGAAGGAATAAGTGTTGGAAAGCAAATCAACTTCTTTCTACTTTGGCATGTATTAAACTATAACTAAGTCAACTAAAAGAAAAATGATAAATTACATTTCCAATTTAATCACTTCCCTCATACACAATTTGAAATCAGGTGCATGAAAATCTCATCAGAGAAGAAAAGCCAGTTTGATCTTCTGTTATGCTCGGCTCTTCTGACACTTCCTTGCTCTCATATTATGATACTCTTTCAACCAGAATCACAATCCAACCATAAATATAACAAGACTGAATTTTGTATACCACTTATGAGCAATTTCTATTCCTACCTCTAAAAAAGAATCATCACTAGTTTCCCCATGGTTTATTGGGAATGGCTTGCGTCCATCTGTGGAAACATAAAGCAGTACTGGTGAATAAATTTATAAAATTAAAATAGAAAAGTTTGAGTTTTTTGCCAATAAAATAAATGAACAGATTTTTTTTGCTCTTCACTTACAAAGATGCTACTTTCTTTTTCTTAAAAGTATCTTTTCTTAAAAGCATCACACAAACACACAAACAACTACTCCCTAATTTCTCCTCCAATTATTACTTTTTAACAGTCATCAATTATGCACATTCTGTTATATTAAAAATACCTGAAGTGATACCTCTACTGGTTTATTTGAAAATGTGAGGCTATGAATTGCAACTTCTTTACTGCTGGGATAGCACTTCAGCTTTTCAAGTGGGAAAGAATGATTTCAATGACACTGGAATTACCCAGACTGACTGCTGTGTATCTGTGATCTTTGACGACCATCATCAGGGACTGAATGACACATGAGAACACTAAACTTCAAAGAACATAAGTGAAACCTTATTCCCATTTAAATTAAACAAATTAACAATTCCAATAAGCCAGGCATTAAGTATTTTCACAACATTAAAAAAACGGTCACTTGCAATATAACAACACTATAGTTCTCAGTATATTTAAAACAATTCTATTCATAGAAATATGTCTGAGGTTACAAATGAAGAGCTAACGCTATGAGAACATTTGTCAGGATATCTTAAGTGTTCTCTAGACCAAATTCCTTTTTGGTTCTGCCCACCTTTTTAAAGATTTCCCTTCCTCACAGATTCCACTGAAATCAATAGTACAACCAAATGGCATTTTTCATAACTGAAAATAGATTTTATGTTAATTTGTTTTTATATTTAGAATCACAAACACCCTCTTGTTCATATAAAATCCAGAACTGAAGATATAACAATACAGATTCCTCTGAACATGCCAAGGAAACAAACTGAATGCCCAGTATGGTTGCAAGCTAAATTTAATTACATTTTTTACATACAACTTGGCAGAATAACATTTTAATTTCATCTGCCTATAAATAACATGTCTTCTATGGCAAAAACATCAGAAGCATTTAGCATTCATGTGGTTTCCCAGCATCTTCTGACTGCCAAAGCCCACATGCTGGCCACAGTGACTGAAACCAGTGAATGAACCTAAAAAACTTTCTCCCATTTTCCTACTTAATTATTTTTTGCTTTCTTCTGCTAGTTCAGAGAGATGTTACTTTATGAACTTGGGAACTTGTTACTTTAAGAACTAGGAAAATAGTACTAGCATACAGTTGAACTAAACTAAACCAAATGCCCATTTGGGTTTTGTTTGTTTGTTTGTTTTCATTGAATAAAAAATTGAAGTGTCTTTTATCTTGTATCACTCTTATAGAATATAGCAAAATATGATAAATATAATAGTGTGCTCTTTGAGTAAATTTATGCACAATGAAAAAGTAATATGGAAGTAGCTGCACACAGCTAAACAAAGCCCATTCATCATGCTTTGAAATTTAAGAGTCAGAACATATTTAGATTACATTACAGTAGTAGTTGCCTCACTATTTGATCTGTAGTACACTGACAGACATCAGTAAAACAGAGGTGTGCATTAATGATCAGTTCGTGACTGATCATTGATATTAACCCACAGATTCACCTTAGGATTAATATAAACATTTCTAACACACTGCTTCTGTCCCAGGTAATAATTAACTGTCACCTGCTAAGGGCATTGCTTACTTAAATGTTGACTGAAAAAAAAAGTAGCAAGCGTTCCCACTATAAAACCCAGGAAAAAATATGTTAAGACCAGTGACTTGCAGTTTTTAAATTCATATCTACTTGATAGTTTTCTGAAGTAGCTGCAGCAAAGCCTCGTTGCCCAGCAACATGTTTTAGATTGGAATCATTAGAGAATATCTGAGCAGAACCTGCTGCTAAACAATCTGAAGAAAGAAAAAATAGCTTTAACCAATTCAGAAAACAGAGATTACTGTTTTGAAGTTAACTAAATTAAGATAGATTAAAAAGTAACCAGCCTATAACAAATGGAGATTATTATCTTCTGGTATTCTATACAATTTCAATGTTAACTGTATCATCCTATTTAATAATACAGCTAACACTTGCAAAGTTGCATCCAATATATTTATTAAGCAATTTAAGGACATAAGTATAACAGTATTTTCAGAAATACACGTTCATCAATTCTTTCTTGCTTCCTGTCTTATCAAATAATAAAAGAAGATCAGAGACAGTCTAATATTGTGTGTCATTTTGTCTTGACAGAGAAGTTGAGAGAAGAAGAATCCAAAAAAAAAGCAGTGGGAAAACAGCTGCAGTCATTTGATAGAAACTCTTCCCACCACCCCCAAACCCTACAATGCAAAAGAACCAAAGCCCTCCATTAAATCAAATACTCTTGTCTCAAACTGATAGCCAACAAGATTACTACTTGTATTTGTCTTTAAACAAACGTAGAGCAGATAAGAAAATGTCCTTACCCAATTCATAGAGATGACCACCTACGTTAACTAATGCAATAAAGTGAAGATCTACTTTTTCATCTATACTTGGTGCCTGCAAAACAAACAAAAACCATATTGCATTCACTAAAACTCATCCCCATATGATTAATGAGAATATATCATAATGTGCAAAACACCTGTCCAAGAGATATGGCAAGTGAAAAGCACATTCTGGATTTGGGCAGAATGGAAGACATCACACTGCAAAACATTATGAAATATAAGGAAGCTTCCTGCAAATACGTGTATTAGTAAGAATCATCTCCCTTAAGTAAGTAGAAGTATTTTCAATTACAGTTTTATATAAAAGCTTTATTTTGCCATTACTGAGTTAGAAGTTGTGTCAACTCGAATACATTAGCACTAAAAATAGATATTCATATAAATAGCAAGTCCTTCAGTAATGCACCTCTCATCACAAAGCAGTACAGGACTGAAAATTCTGAACCTACAGTATTTTAGAACTTATTCACTTAGTCAAAGTGAATGCAAGTCACTTGTAGGACGGATAACCTTTTCTTTCCTTGCAGACAGCAGAAACAGATGAAACTCCCAGGGTACTGCTCACACATCTCTTATGCAGAAAGGAAGGATGAAAAACTGAGAGGGATACAGAGCTGTGTTACACTCAGAGACATCTGGAATTTCAAAGCAGCATCATAGGAATCATCGCTACATATTGAGAATGGACTGAAGTGCACTGACAGCACCAAGTGACATTAAAAAAACATGGTTAGTTGTATCTATCCAGCCCAGTGTTGCCAATCACAGAATAGAAAAGATTTTTCAGAAGAAAAAAAAACAGAGCATGCTCTTCTCTGGCAGCACATTCCCAGTGTCAAGTTTGGTAAGAAGTGTTGTCAGAACCTCTGAGCCAAAAGCTGCACCACCACTGTTACGTTCGATAGCAGCTGATGGTCTTATTACTTCATGAATTTGTCCAGTCTGCTACTGAGCTCCATTCACAATTAAGAAGATACTTTTGAGTGAATGGATAAAAGCACTTCAGTTACTTCTAAAGAAATTATCAAGAATGTGACTTGTATTTCATACATTTTCTCCTCCATCTTTACTCTGATACTTCTGTGAATTTCATAAAGCATCTCAAAAATCTAAATCTGGCAGAAACAGATTACTGTGTAAAATGAGTTGTGGAGAATCTTATGTTTACATCACGTTTTTAAGACCCCATTAAAACTTTCCTTCTTCCTTACGGTCATGAAGAAAGACTTGAAAAGATGACCCAAGCTGCTTGATGAAACCCAAGCAAATGATCAAAACAATACAGCAAAGGACAAGGTGGCACCACAAGTCTTTCAACCGAACAAGAATGCCAAAGAAGACAGAATTACAGAGGAACAGCTTACAGAAATTCCATACAGGAAGTTCAAAAAAGACAAAAAAAAAAAAAAAGAAAGAAAAAAGGTGGGGAACCCTCTCACACACAACCTCCTCCCATCCTCACTGATGTTAACTGTCCTCCATGACCAGTTAATGTACAAAAGACTCTGTTTCACCTCTGTTTCAGAGGGCAGAGAACGTCAGCTTCAGCATGATGTCTATTGTGGAAAGCTACACTTTTGGCCAAGTTTTCAGCTTTTAATAAAGCCTGTGAGAATGCTTAGAAGAAGAGAACATAGCTCTAAAAATTCAGCTTGTATGCTCATCACTAGGTCATAATACAAAAGCAAATATGGCGGATTTTCTCTTGTTTACTCTTCTCAAAGACTACTAATATCAGCTTCAGTTAGGTTTGAGAGCACCTGTTCCTTTGGTTTTTCACACAGAAGCCCATTCAATGTCTAGGAGACAGCAGATTTGTATTATCATATTGAAGAAGAAAAAATAAAAGTCTAAACATGATCAATGTCTAGCTAGGATTCAGAACTGACTTCTAAGACCCAAGATTCACTTTTCAAGTCTTCTGAACAGCTGTACCACTCAGTGAATTAAAAAAAAAAATTACACTTATTTCCCATCCAGAAAAGATAGAGGACATATATCAGCATCTTGGGTAGCTTACAGAAACTTACATTATGACTGTACCCTTAGTATAAGGAACAGGTTGTGATGTCCACTGACTCATATAACCACTCTTCCAATCTACTTCTTTGAAAAAAAAAGGCTGAAAAATAATAACCTGAAGATTTGAATAGAAAAAAAAAGGCTTAGCACTTAAAAGTGATGGTTCTAAGTACACAACAATCCCAATTTGTTCTCAGGGTGTTGAGGTAACTTCTGATAGTAATATAGTGTGACTTCATGGATTCCCAGTCTCTCATACTTCACTGTTTTTAGCACTGTTTTTAGTTACTCAGTAGACAACTTTCCAACCGTTTTGTACTCCTCATTCTCATCATATAATGTATACTATAGCAGCCATTTTCTTTTCTTCCTTCCAACCTCTCTCATTCTCTGTATAATAAAAGCCTTTTCATTACTAAAAGTGTTCCAAATGTCCACAGAGGGGACAGTCAGGGTTTTGGACATCTCTAGAGGTCCCTTCCAGCCCTTACAATATTGCGATTCTGTGATTAAATGACCAATTCCTAATCTCTCATAAGATTTAACAGCCTTCTCTACTAGCCTGAACATTTCAATTCAACAGTAAAATAAACTTCTCAGAGTAGACAGCAATTGTATACACCTCTCAAGCATTACTTCATATAATCAAAACAGTACCCCCGTTTTTCACTAGCAGATTTCTCATCAGTAATTTCTAAAATAACACTTCTTACACTTTCCTACTGTGTCAACCATATCCTTTCCTACCTTCCATCATACCAAGAAGCTCTTTGAGTTCACCTTTCACCATTACATTCTCATTACTTTGCTCACAAACAACATTCTTCATTCTTCTTGTTGCACAAACTTTTAGAAACTTGGTAGTACACTCCTAAGTCAACAAAGCCCCGTCACATCAGCTTCTCTAATAATGCTTCTTTCATCTGCATTTCTTGGGCAAACTCACCAGTGGGGGGAAAAGCAACAAAAAATCTGTCTTGATCTTATGAACGTATTGAGAAACTCCTCACTTCATTATGCTTAAAATTTATTTATAAAAGACCACAATATAAAGCCAGATTCAATGTTACATGAGAGGTTCTTCCAATGGAATCTTTTTATTACTTCTCCTTTCTACTTAAGAAAATGGAGCAAGGCAAGAGGCCTCTCAAACTAATTTAGTACAATGCTTTGTGTTACAGGTAGCAATCAGAAAAATAAACATGGAAAAAAAATAAAAAGCAAACAAAAACTCAACACAATAACACCAATGAAACTTCTTTTTGCATTCAGTCAAGAAAATGACATTGAAAATCTATCAGATTCTGAAAGAAAAGAGGTAAAGACTGATAAGGAAAATAATTTTGCAGAATCTTGAGGAACTGAACTGAATTATTAAGCTAAAAGTAATAATAAGTCTAAGAGAATAAAAACTATAGTAGTTTATGTGTACAATTTCACTCACAATAAATTAGGAGAAGACAAAGAAAAATCTATTCTATGTGATGTTTGTGCAAAAGAACATTAGCATGGTTTAGATCAATAAGTTCTGAAGGGGAAAAAGTTATGCATTTGCATCTGGGTAGATTAGGCATCTGTAATTTCCATTTTGAGGCACAAAGTGCACCTACACTACCTTTAAGCAAATTTACTCTGTGTGTGTGTGATAGGCATTTGAATCCTTGTTGAAAGACTGCAGTTGAAACAATCACCACTGGAATAATGATCACGAATTTCAGAAAGATTATTTCTGATTAATTCTCACAAAACAGTCACATCTCTATTCATGATCAACGTACCACAGAGAGCTTACTGCATTTGAGATGCTCAAGAGCTTCAAAACCAAACATGCACAGCTTACCACAGATAAAGATCCAATGTCTAGATAAAAGACAGGTGCAGAGCAACTGTCTCAAGAATGAGTAAGAAGCTCCTTTCCTAAACATTGTCTAATTTGTTTGTCTAGCATACTGTCCCTCTAAAGCTTATGAATTTTATGTCTCAAGCTGTAGCTACAACATGCAAGTGGGAGGCTAGCTGCAGGACAGCAGCAACTAATTTTGAACGAGAGGATGACAAGAAGGTGAAATTTAGAGATGGGATCTATCAGTGACCAGAGAATCTAGATATAGAATACTTACACAAACAGAAATCTGTCTGTAAATATGTAAGTGAGATGGATTATTCAACAGCGTACAGTTCAAGATGCACTCCTTATATTTTTAAGAAATAAGAATGTTAATCTGACACAGGAATCAAAGGCTGAGCACTCAGGGAGAAAAAAAAGAACAGCTCATGTTTTCTTATTTGAGAAGTGTAAAAAAAGAGAATATGGAGAGATTAGCGTGTTATATAAAAAGGAACAAAATGATCCCAAGGCGAGCAGAGGCACTAGTCTTCAAGAACGGATGAACTGGAAGAGCAAGAGATCATTACAGCTGTTGAGAAAAATTCTATATGAAGTATGTTGTTACTCACAGATTAGAAATTCACCATGTTTACTGCAAATTTATCAGATGTGCACAGAACATTTCAGGATAATGTTTTGAATACTTTTTTTCTACTGTATGTTCTGCAGATATCCGGAGACCTTATCTAAAACATCAAAGGAAAATTACAACTATGGAAGGTGGTTTTATTTAAAGAGCAGAAAAACAGTTTCCTACCACTGACTTCCACTCTTAATTTTGAAACAATTATTTTCTGTCAGTGTTTAGGACTAGAAATGTACTTAAAATTACTTTAGAAAATGTATACAGGATGTCCCCACCACCCCTTAAATTTAAGTCAATTTTTAATAAAAGCAATTCAATCATTTTCTTATAAGCTCTACTAATGCCCAAAATGCTGCCTGCTTTTTGCAAATTATGATGATTTATACAGGGTTCATATCTTTCCAAATATATGTTATAAAGAACTGTAAAGACAAGAAGAACCTTTTAGTTACCAACACATATCACACTATATTATATTCAGTCATAAATTTTTGTATGTAGGACTTAGAATTTTAATCTGCCAAATTGGAGAATCAAGGATCAAAGTGGAGTAAATGAGTATTATTTTAGTGCTATCTTAGAAGCTTGTTTTGCCACATAGAGTTCTTTTGAAGGGCACCTACTTTTTGAATTAAATTACAGTTTGTAAATTATCAGAACGCTCACTGCTAATGGATGAGGAGTTGATTTCAGAAATCTCACGAAGTAAATAAGACTACAGTAGTTAACAGTGTTTCTAGCATAATCATAATATGCTGTAACTTCCATCTTTGGTTACATCATGGTTAATTTAGCATTGAAATGAACTGTAGCCATAGCACAGTATAGAAATACTGTCTATTTTGTGCATGCAATTTTTTTCTACATTTTGAAGATAGATTTGTGCCCTGTAAGTGAAAAAGAGAAAACAACAGGGTAACAGAAAAAAAAAGGAGGAAAAGGAAAAATGCTTTAGCACATTCGATGACTAGTTTTTATTTATTAGAATATCTTCACCTTCAACTAGAAGGTCTGCCTAGAAAGAAACTGGATAAAGAAACAGATGTCAAGTGAGAAAGTACGTGAGCCCCTTGGAATTACATGAAACACTTCATCATATTGAAACACTCAAAAACCATTAAGTAAGACTCAGAATGAAAGAAAAGGAGACTAATTTTAGGATATGAGAACATAAGGCAGATCTCAAACATAGAAGAAATAATGTCATTCAACAAGAAATGAGAAGCCCCTTGCTTTAGCAAATCCAAACGAAAGACCATGAAGATGAGATAAAAAGAAGAAGCTGGATTTGGAGCCTGTGGACAACAACAACAACAAAAAAGGAAAGCCACTTCATGAAGGGCAAGCTTCATCTACACTTTGAAAATGACTTGGCACATGTCCTGAATCAAAAATACTTGAACAGCAAAATATGGAGTGATGTACTCTTGCTGTCCAATATGGGGGAAAGAAAAAAAAAATAAGGAAGAACAAAATCCTAAGAATGGCTGAGAAAGGATCCCAACAAAAATTATAATATGATGCCTTGAAGACTGAAGTATCTGGCAGAATGCCATCTGTGTCAGAGTAAGAAAAGACTGAAGATGGACTACACTTACAACAGAATGAAGCCCAACAGATGGAAGGCGTATCAAGGGCCGCCAACGACGCAGACGGATTGACGGACTGGTAGCTTTTGCAGGACCTACATGATTACGTTTAGCCCAGGAGAGGGATGCAGACTGACACAATTGCGAAGCCTTCGTTCTGCTGTGGCTAACCTGAGGCTGCGATGAGGATGGTGGTGAAGACAGCGAAGACGATGGCGACTACATAAACATTAGAAAAGAACATACTTAGCTCACTTAAACTTGAAGCAACACAGCTAAAAAGGCAACCGCAAAGATGTCCACTATTTATTATAGTGTCCTTTAACTGAATGATTCTAAATAGGTAACAATCAAGACTATGTTGCATTTGAATGAGATGACAAAAGAACACTGAAACTAAGCAAGGACTTGGTTCAAATGTGAGGTTTATCTCCTAATATGATAGAGGTTATTCACACCCAGTGAACTTTGTAGTAAGAACAAGTTAAATTAACTGACTCATTCTAAAGACAGTTGGAAACAAGGAGAAAGGAGATAAAGTAACATCATGGAAGGAATAACTGACAGCAGCAAGAGTTATCAATCTTTTCTATAGTTACAAAAAAATGCAACAACTATTTGGTAATTTGGGAAAGCTATGTTGTGCTCCTCACAGATCTAAAACAAATTGTTTAACTCGTGTGGATAGAGCCCAGAGTTTCTTTACTGTTCCATGTCTAACATAAAAGGAAAGCAAAGAAGAAGGGAATCTTACCGTGGTGAGGTATGCAACTTCCTAAGTTTTTCACCTATTCTTCTAAAATAGCAGGCCAGTGGCAGTATTGCCATTAAGACTCTGGATCCCTTTAGTATCCGTGGAAGCAGTGGGACTATGTTAAACCATTCAAATTGTTACTATTAGAAGAAAGACCACAGAAGTGTTAAAAAACGGCTCTCAGCTGCAACTGACAAAGTTACAGAAATTATATTAAGATCAGAAAGGACCATTGTGATGATTTAGTTTTGATCTTCTGTCCCACACAGGCCACAGGACCAATAAAGTTTTGTTTGGATTAGAACACATTCAACAAAAAAACCTCATACATGCAAACTTAACAATTTATTGACTACCAAAATAAATCTGAGAAAGTCAAAATTTCAAACAATCAGGTTGACACAGGTTGACTACAGAAACAGTAATGGTTTCATATGGTTTAGAAAATACATTAGTATTAAATGATAAAGGTTTCTTTTCTACTCCTGCTGAATGATGCTATGAATATGGAACAGTGGATTACACTAGTCCTTCTGACCGTGATGTCAAATCAGGGGCTCACATCTAGCTGATGATAAACCTCTAGCTTATCACTCATCATTGCTTCATCCTCTGTGCTCATAAAAAAAATCCTCTGTGTCATCTTCATTTTGCTGCACAGACTAGATTCAAACCAGGTAAGACTGCACTGAGCAAGGGATCTAGAGGCCAACAAAAAAGCTATTTTTAAGGCTTTTTTTTTGAAGCCAGCAATAGTGCCGCACCTGTAGGGGCTAACAGCTTGTGGGCAAGCTGCTAAGTGAGCAGAGATGGAGCTGGCGCATTAGCAGCAGAGTTTAAACACCCTACAAATGTGTCATCACCTGCCCTTGGCACCTGGTGATAAGCTTTAAATAATCTCGGAGAGCACAGCAGGTGAGTAACTACTGTTACTACCCACTGAGAATGGGTCAGTGAGCGAGCATAGTCTGCGCCGTCCATACAGTGCTGCAGCTGTGGGTGTGGGAAGTGGGTCAAGTGGTGAGGAACTAGGTGTTGTCCCTCCTTGCTCAGGAAACCAGCTCTCCTCCTGACAGTCTCTGAGACTGCAGGCCTAAACATGTTACCACCAGACAGTGGGCTTATTCCAAGAAAACTGTGGCAACCCAGATGGAGAAACTGCCCAGAAATGTGGCTGTTCAGGTCTCCATCTGCAAGGAATGCCTGAGCCTGCTGCTGCCTGGGGAGGATAGCAGAGATTCCACCTGTGTGAGATGTGAACAGGTGGATGAGCTGCTCAGCCTGATGGTGGATCAAGCAGGAGGTGAGGGAATGTGAGTGGGAGATTCACTGCTGGAGTGACTCACTGGTGTGTCAAAGGGAAGGGTGTGAGGGAGAAACCCCAGAAAAGTGGTTGACCCCCCACCTTGTCACAGTCGGGCAGACCTGACAGATGAGGAGAGTTGGAAAAGAGTCCCAACTTAGTATCACGGGAGCCCCCCTGCCTGCCTACCCTGCTTCCCCAGCTCCCACTAAGCTTGCAGAAATTGCGCTATTGCCAGCACTTGTTCTCATGGGAGACTTCCAACTTCCCTGATATACGCTGGAAATATAATAGAGTGCAGAGGAAGCGGACCAAGAGATTTCTAGAGGGTGTGGAAGATAGCTTCCCTACATAGCTGGTACGAGAGCCTACCAGGGGTTTTGCCCTGCTAGACCTGCTCTTCACTAACACTGAAGGACTACTGGGAGGTGTGAAGGTTGGGAATGTCTTGGGCAAAGCAACCGTGAAATTGTAGAATTCTCTGTTCTAGGAGATGTCAGAAGGGTGACTGGTAAAACTGTTAGCTTGAACTACCAGGGGGCGGACTTCGACCTGTTCAGGATGCTTGTTGCAGGGGTCCCTTGGGAGTCACTCCTGAAGCGTTAAGGGGTCCAGGAAGCCTGGACGCTCCTCAAGATGGAAATCTTAAAGGCACAAGAACAGGCTGTTCCTGAATGCCATACAGCAAGCTGTAGGGGAAGAAGACCAGTGTGGATGAACCAGGAACTGTTGTTGAGACTCCAGAAGAAAAAAAGAGTCTGTGTCCTCTGGAAGAAGGCACAGGCTACTTGGGGAGATTACAAGGAGGTTGCTAAGGTATGCCGGGGGGAAGTTAGGAAGACAAAAGCCCAACTTGAACTCAGATTGGCCACTGCAGTAAAAGAGAATAAGAAATTTTTTTATAAATATATCAACGATAAGAGAAGAACCAGGGAGAATTTCTATCCTTTACTTGATGCAGCTGTCAATGTGACCACTGAGGATAAGGAGAAGGCTGAGGTCCTCAATGCCGCCTTTACACCTGCCTTTAATAGGCAGATCAGTTATCCTCAGGGCACTCTGTGCCTTGATCTGGAAGTCTGGAATGCTACACAGAATACACGGCTGGTCTGGTGATTCAGGTGGAGACGGTTAGAGAGCTCCTCCTCCATCTGGACTGTCACAAGTCCATGGGACTGGATGGGCTGCACCCTCGGGTGCTGAGGGAGCTGGCGGGGGTGATTGCTGAGCCACTTTCTGCCATCCACCTGTGCTCCTGGTTGCCTGGAGAGGTCCCAGAGGATTGGAGGCTTACCGATGTGACTCCCATCTACAAGAAGGGCCATAAGGAAGATCCAGGGAACTACAGGCCTAACAGCCTGACCTCGGTACCAGGGAAAGTCATGGAGCAAATCATCTTGGATGAGATCACATGGCATGTGCATGGTGTCCGGGGGATCAGGCCCAGCCAGCACGGGTTCATGAAAGGCAGGTTGTGCTTGAGCAACCTCATCTCCTTCTATGACTGGGTGACCAGCCTGGTAGATGAGGGAAAAGCTGTTGATGTAGTCTACCTAGACTTCAGCAAAGCCTTTGACATGGTCTCTCACGGTACAGTATCAGTACAGTACAGTAACAGTTTGAACACCATCAATCTTTATATTTAATAGCCCAGAGATGACCAAAATTATGAAATATGTTTTTATGGAGTTTTTGATTTTGTCAACACATTTACCATAATTCCACACTCCTACCATTCTTAATGGTAATGCTTAATTTTTCTTTTGTAGTTAATAATTTTAAAATAATGAGAACATATTAAAAACACCCCTTAACTAAAATGACCCCAAAAGAGATGAGGTAGTTAAAAAAATCATACATATTATATAAATTGAATAAAATATAATTCACATTATAATATAAGGCAAATACTACCAATGGCTTTTCATTTCCAGATGAGTACTCTTCCTCATTTTAACATTCCATTCATGGAAACTTTTTAACTTTTAATTACTATGCTGGTTAATACCCTTGTGAGGTCAATCAGACAAACACTCTCTCCACTGAAAATGTACTTCTGCATTGCAAGACTGAAATTTCAACAGACAGCAAATGGGAATTCTGCCAAAGCAAAGTTAATACTGGATTCTATCTAATTAACAAGGTTATAATAGCCATAAAATTTCATTCTCTGCTTTAATAATAAGCATAAATTAAGCTTTTGTCAGCTGAAGTTATTTGCAACTGAATATTAAAAATACATATATTACAACAGAACTACATGACAGTATTAGTATGAAATTAATGCTAAATATACATCATCAAATAAAGGACACAAAGCAGTATATGTCACATTTAATTTAAAACGTGGAAGACAAATCAGAACCTTGAACATTCTACTCAGACAATACTCATTAACAGCTAGCAAACTGCAGAGAAAAGAAACTAACTTCACAAGATGAAAAAAAATAAAATCACAGGAGCATGCTTTAGTGCTGAAAATCATAACATCTCAGATATTTGAAGTGGTGAAAGAAAAAGCCTGAAATAGAATTCAATGTTATTGTCAGATAAACCAGTAAACACATCAGTAGTCCATAACACAAAAATACATTACTAAGAAATTAAAAGTCCAAAAAGAAGGTTTAGGAAATCAACTTCTGCTCCACTCCGTAACTTATTTCTTTGTATAGCTGCTGATAAAGCTTAGAGCCACTTCGATCTTAAGGTCTCAAGGAAACACATGCTGTAAAGTTTCCAGAGGTCCAAGAACTGTGCAGGTTTAAAAATGCACATATTTAATAATGCTGAGTAGCTCCAGTCCCAGCTCATGCCCAAATCTATCAGACTTTAGAAAGACAGAATTTGTCTGCTCAGTCCAGACAAGTATGTCAGTTCGTGTGTAACGCACTGAAGATCTGACAGGATTGAGCAGGGTTTGCCATTGCAATCATTTCTTTCCAAGTAGAAATATTTATTACTGATTAATTTCCTACTGGTTATGAAAATTTGTCCATCTATGATCTTGAAGTTCAAGGCACTCCTTTAGTGGAAAGCCTATGCATCTTCCTCTTTCAGCCTCTAGGGAGGGATCCTTGTCTGTCAACTGACAAACTATACAGGGACCAGGGCTTTCTTCTTTCCTCCATTTTAAGGTACTACCACTGTGTGGATACAAATCTAGTTGAGCTGGGACAGAGATCAAAGGAGGTCTGACTGCATATCATCATCACTGGAAGCTTTGGAAATAGGAGGAGATAAAATACAGTTAGCCCTGGTCTTTGTTTCCACAATTAGACATATGCACAGCCCAGGGATCAGAGGCCCTGTCATATGTCCTGCACATGCTCAGTTGAGTTGATCTATAAGCACACAACAATTCTGCCCAATAAACTGCTTATAGCCACGTTACATAGTACATGCACAGTAAGCCCTGTAGTAGAGAAGGAGGAATGTTGAGAAGGCACTAAAAAAATGCAACTTTTCCAGCCAAAAGGGCAACATAAGAGTTATCTTAGCTTTAAGTTAAATTCACAAATGATATTTCATATATATCATTTTTCCACCACCTTCTGAGGCCTTCTTTGCTTTGCTTAAGTAACTTGCTCATGATTGGATTAAACACAGTATGTTAAAGAGTCTGTATTGCAATACAATGTGCAATGCAGAGCATGTTTTTCTTTCTTAAAAGTCAATGATCTTAGTATTTTTCCATATCCAAATTAAATCTACACATTACACAGTCTGAAAAGATCCTTCTTCTCTTCCTTCCTTCACTTCTTTAACATCTTTATTAAGCCTGTTTTGGTCGCACTCTTGAAGGATGTTAGTTTCCTCCCAGCTTTTTTAAAAAGATGAACATCCAGAACATTGAAAATAAGCCTGTCAAAGGAAGTATCCCAGAAATAGATGCTTGTCGACCTCTGAGTGGATTATGAGCTCATCTGCAACAGCACACCAACAGAATTCACACAAGCAGGAGATACGAAAACCTCAGATGCAGTGAAGGCCTTATTTCCTAACTAAAACTTCATTATATACAATGCAGTCCTGCACAACATACAAACTGACAGGAAATCAAGGTTCATGATGTTTAGTGTTCAAGGATCTATTATTAGCATTAATACGTATTGAAAGTGTGACTAGTTTTCAAACTGAATTGGACTATACCTGCCAGCTGAACAACTTCTGCACCAGTACATTTAATGAGTGTTTCTGCAACCAATAAGGAGAAAATCTTCACAGTATTCTTTATGTCATTTCAATAAGGGATTAAGATGGACAGTATTCTGAGACTATTACTTATCTAAACATATGGATAAAGACATAGCTTAAATACAAGCAAGACTGCTGAGATCAGAGCACCCAAAAAGCCTTTCCAAAATTAGTTATAATTTATCTGTCTCTCAAGTCCTATATTTTAGTTCTATGGCCTATGTTAGGCAAAAGTCAAGCTAGATTATCACAATGGTGACTTCTGTGATCAAAAATTAGTAGATTTACAAAAAGATCCAAACTTTGGGGAGCTCTGTAAAATCCTGATTAACTATGTTTTTTAAACAGCTTTTACTCTGAAAGATATTTTTTCTTAAAATCAACCAAACAGCACTGTTGCACACCCAAGTACATATTTTTAGTATCCTTCCTAGAGGAAAGCAGCTTGATGCAACATTAGTTGCCTGAGTAATTTTAACCAACCAACTAGTTCCAGCTGTATGAGTATAGTGGTAATTGTCTCAAAGATGATAAGTTCATTCTGCTTTTTTTTTTTTTTTTTCTCCTGCTGGATTAGTGATTGGATAAAGAGAGACAGTTTCTCTGCTGCTTGAGGAAAAAATCTTGAGTGTGAAGTCAACCACTACCTGTCATAAGGAGCCTGCATGGTGCCAGTGAGCAAGAATGCCAAGAACCTGCTACTTACTCTCTCTGATACATATAGTGCAGGAACAGCACCAGAATGATATGAATGATATGGACTGGAGACATGTGAGATGTAAAACCGTAGAAACATTTTGTTACTTTCACTTGTTTCTCATATACTTGCTATTTGAATTCACCAGCTAATTTATGGGTGCGAATATCCTCTATAGCTTTATTTAATCCTAAGAAGCAGAGTTCCTCTTTACAAACTTCACAATTAAGCATAAGGCTCAGAATAACAGTTCAGAGCAATACTGTATTAATAACTTCTTAGTTATTTGCTCAGAACAGTACAGGAAACAGATTGATGCATGTCTCCAAGTCTGACACACAAGTCATACAGGGTAATGCCATGAGTCAAAGCTTAAGCAAATATAATTTCCAAAACCTTTTCACACTACTCTAGTATACTTATTTTTACACTTCTTGCTGCATAAGCTGAAAAAAGAAAAAGCTATAGACAGCATCACTGCCTTTACAGAATGCTAGCATAGACAAAAATCATCTCAGAAGCAATTTGCATAATTGTTTTTATATTCTCCAGAAATGCAAGTGTTTCTTTACAAGACTGTATGGATTATTCAGAAAAAAACACTGAGGAATATGGGCTATTTAAAAAAAAAAAAATCAGTCCCATATGTTCCTGGCAGAAATGAAAGGGAAGCTCCTTTATACTTCTGCTCTATCAATAAATTCTAATCCCACAGGGAGCCAGAGATCTTTGAAAGTTCAAGTTTTACAGCAGTTGAGAACAAAGTTAACGACTGTTAACTGTGATCAAAGTCTAACTTAGCGCATTCCAAGCAAGATTATAGTTTTCAGGACACACTAAACAAGTTTACAGACTACAGTTGGCAGTTACAGTTCAAGTTATGGAAGAAGTCAAGCTGGGGTAGTTTTTTGAGTGCCACCAATTTCAATTCACGTGAAAAACATTCTTGCTCATACTTATGAATGCTGGTGGGCACAACTATTTCTGTTTTTGGTGAACATCTGAGACTAGTTCTTAACTCTGACAGCCAGACACCAGTTTTGTTTTTGAAAAGTTAAAGTTTTTTTTTTTTTTCATAGCAGTCCAATGAGGTGCAAGAATGCTGCTTTCATTTGAGCTGGCAGCTCAAGCGCACCACCTCAATCTTCTCATTTCAGAGCCTCATGTGGCCACGCAGACAGTTCTGGTAGCCAGAGCTGTAAAATGGTAAATATGCATACACAGTATACAAAAAAGAACAAGGAGGAGATGTTACAGAATCAAAGGCTGTGTGTTCTCTGCTTCTAGAGACAGCTGATATATTTTATATTCCAGTTCTGTTCTCTTCTCTCTTACATAATAGCTACTAACTGAAATACTATACATAAAACTTCACTGACTTGGATAGCCTCAATATCCTGTAAGGAAAAAGAAAAAAAAAAAAAAAAAAAAAAAGTAACAGTAGTAACAGTAATCCTAGAGGCTCCTAATTTTCTCCTAAGAATTTACATCACTGATATCAGAAGCTCTTATTATTTTCCAACCAGTATCAAATACATAGGCATTTCAAGTGGCCTTTAAACAAATCAACTTACATTTATTTGTTTGCTTGAAACATTATTCTGGGCTATGCTGGAATAACATTTAAAGA